AAAGAAGTAAAACAATTTTAATAATCAGATTAGAAAATTAATCGCAGACACAGTAATGAACCTTTCGGGGGTTACGTAACACGGTGGTAGTATCTTGACTGGCTAAATGACTATTAGCTTCTGAAGGACACTGTTCTAGTCTAGCGGTTAGAACGCTGGCCTTGTAATCCTGGGGTTTCGGGTTCGATTCCCGGCCGTGCCCGAATTTATAACTTGTGTTGGACAAGGCCGTGGTCTAGGCAACACGGAGTTTTCCTCCGTGGCATCCCAACAATTACTCCATTCACACACAGAAGAAGGCAATGGCAAACCACTTCTGGATCATCTGCCAAGAACGTATATGAACAGGTCCCAGTCCGAGAAAAGGATGGAAGGATCCTGTTCATATGGACCTGTCGTCAGACAGAACACTAATAATAATAATAAATAATGAAGATGGAAGCCTTTTGAGGTGTGTAGTGCAGTCTGAAACGTCACACTACATGGCGCATAATCCCAGAAGACAGCTAGATTTAGGCTCTCCGCCTTGAGAACCATAAATCTCACCAATCACAGTACTTAGTTGTGTCTTATTCCATGCCCAGCGACACAGTTTTCCTGATTCAGAGTAAAATGTGTTCTGTTGGTCGTTAAGCCAATCTTGCGCTGAGTCTCTTACTTCATTATCACTGGGGAATCCCCGGCCTTTTAATGCTTCCTTCAGAAGACAAATTCGTAACAATCGGTTGGCGCAAAGTCAGGATAAAATAGCTGTTGTCGGGGGACTTAATATTTCATTTTTTCAGTTCTTTAGACGGTCTGCGTAGTCACAGGACATCTAGAGAGAAATCCGCGAAGTGTTCTTCAAACGGTCGCCTTCACTTTGTAACAGAGAACCGTTGTAGGGCTGACTGCCCTTCAGAAGACCATTAACGCTTCGAAGCAGAAAGTTCATATAATTAGCATTATAATTCCAGTTGCTGTCTAAAAAACCGATTGAATGTTCACTTTATTCTTTTTTTATTTGTAGTGTTCTGTCTGACGACAGG